CCCCCCCCCCCCTCCGGGGTTCTCTCTTTCCTCCCTGCATCTCAGCAACCACACATCGCCTAATGGTGAACTGTACCTCAATCAATAGAGTTCGTTGCGCGTACCAGATTAATATTGTCATCTACATTATTGCGAGCCGAAAGTGATCTGGATAAATCTAGCCGGAATCCTACTAATTTTCGCTCTCCTATTGGCCACCCTACGCGTGACCCGGCCAGATGCCGGGGTCCCGTCGGGTTGGTTGGCATCCTTTTCGAAAATCCCGCACTTCCACCTCTATCCGGTTTCGAGCTCCGCGGCGAGCCAACTCCCGTGGTCGACTTTGCCAGGCGTGATGGCGAGTGAAGGTATGTGAATTTGTCTTCCCAGCATGAGACAGCACACGTTGAGGAACTTCTACCTAGGTGGATTACCGACCATCTATGGAATCCCTCTCAAATACGTCTTTCTCGTCACGCTCGTTGTCCAGAATTCCGCGCTCGTTCTCACCATGCGATACTCGCGAATCCAGCCAGGCCCAAGATATTTAGGAACGACCGCAGTTGCTCTCTCAGAACTTCTGAAGTGCTTCATATGCCTAGGTATCCACGTTCACAGAAAACGATCTCAGCCGGACCACCGACAGGCGCCGACACTTTCCGCCGAGGCCAATCCTTCCAACCAAGCGGATGATTACTCGATACCATTATGGATTGACGGATCCAGGGCCCCAAAAATTGCCCTTTGGGCACTGGTAGCCTTCCTCTACTCCCTACAGAACAACTTACAGTTCGTCGCTGCCAGTCACCTGCATGCTGCGACTTTCCAGGTCACCTACCAGTGCAAGATCTTGACCACTGCATTATTCACTGTGACGCTCCTACGGCGGAGATTGTCGGCCAGGAAGTGGTTCTCACTCGTTATCCTAACAGCCGGAGTCGCTTGGGTCCAGATACCGTCGTCATCAACTGCGGCCAGCAAACAGCAGGGCGACGATCTCGCGGGGATCACTGCGGTTGCGGGTGCGTGTATCTGCTCAGGATTGGCCGGAGTGTGTTTCGAGAAGGTGCTCAAAGAGCCTCAACAGTCATCAATCTGGAAACGCAATGTGCAATTGAGCGCCGGATGTTTCCCCATGGCACTTGCGGCAGCCTACTGTTGGGACCGTCAGGCCATCCGGAAGGATGGCTTTTTCCAAGGTTACAGTCCGGTGGTCTTGGCCACCGTTGGTGTGCAAGCCGCCGGAGGTCTCATCGTGGCGTTGGTCATCAAGTACGCCGATAATATCTCGAAAGGTTTCGCCACCTCCATTTCGATCATCCTTTCGACCGCTGCTTCGATCTTCCTCTTCGACTTTGTGCCGACGATCCACTTCCTATGTGGGTCCATCTTGGTGCTCTTGGCCACTTACCTCTATAGCCAGCCTGATGCACCCAAGGTGGCTGCCACTGTGCTCCCTCTCTATCGGCAAAAAGTTTTGAGGTAGACCAACCCAGTGGCATTGGGCATCCGGAGGATTGTCCGCTCCGGGAGAGATAGTGTGATCCTCCAACAATGCGGCTGTGACGCGAGTCTATCCCCATATGGTGTTACGGCGGTTTCTCTACCGAGGTGCCTCAGCCTTCCCTAGATTTTCAAGGTCAGATACAGATCGCCAGGCTGCCGATTGGTGCGACATGTGAGAGTGCTCGGTGAATGTCATCTTATGTCGCAGATGTAGGCTACGAGAATGAACCATGGGCCCTACGGGTGGCGGCGCAATTTCACTCCGCCACGATACTATAGTTAGATATCTCACCAGCACTCTTTCAGTACGCACTTACGCAAGTCTTCCTGTTATCTGCCGTGACCCAGCGATGATACGCCTGAAGATTCGACCGGTCTGGAGCGTTGGTGGCATTGCAGCATGGTGCCTTAGTAATTAGCCTACATTGGCGTCGCTATGAGCGTTGGGGTCTTGGAGTCATGTAATTACATGAAATTGATTTATCCATCTATGTCAGAATTTCTAGCCATTCTGACACGGAATACAACTACATTCCCTCAAGATACAGTACAGGACTGTACATCTAAACCTCTTCTTCCTTCATAAATGTTTATACCAACTGTCGTAAGATGATTGTCTAGGTGGGGTCTTCCTGGCTGGAGTCGTCCAATCCACTAATCTCGTGGCCCTATTCTTAAAGTATCTTACGCCCCGCTCAATCCTTAACCCACATCCCGATGTGATGTAACGGCCTGCGTGGTGAAACCGTCCTCTGGTACCTCGAATGGTGTGATGGGTTGAACCCTGAAGGAGGCTCGGTTCGGAGGAACCAGCGCCAAGCCCGACAGTCACGTGTGGCGGGGGAACAACATACCGTACGCAAGGGG